AAAAAAAAAAAAAAAAAAAAAAGATGCATTTTTTTTACATGACGGGTTGACCGACTAACAATTAGGCAATCTTAGGAAATGATTGGATATAAATTATTTTCATTTTAGTTGGATTTGTTGGATAATTAAAAAAATTTAAAATATAACGACTAAAGTTGATGTGAAGGTTATTGCAATGAATGAGTAGTTGAAATTATGTGAGTGACTGGATAATGAATTAAAATTAGTGATTTGTGAGAATTATTGATTAGTATTATTTATGAATATTGATAATTTGATTATGGTTGAGTTGAGTTAAATTTGAATCAGAATTTGAATTAATATGTCATTGTCTAAAACACAACAATGAACTCAAGACATTTCATAACATAAAATTACATTTTTATTATTAAAAAAAAAAAGGTATGAAGGATCCACCAACCTAATTTCCTAATTTAAATGCATTTAAACAGGACATTCTCATTTAATATGCATTTAATCTTCAATCCACCACATGCACCTCTAAATTTAATTAATAAATTATTGACATTCTCATTCTCTATACATTAATTCAAACAGGACATATATCTAATTTTTATTTATCTAAACAAAATCTCCAAATTACCATTATCTCTTTAATTATAATTATTATAATAATACAAAAAAGGAAAAAGGGCAAAATGGGAAATATGAGGGAAATGCGGACCTGAGGAGTAAAGGCGAACGGATAAAGGGTGCGGGCACGGAGCTCCGAAGCGACGGCGTTCCAGTCCGCCGTGCCGTGCCGCATAACGGCGCCGCCGAGGATGAGCTCCTCCCACGTGCCCCAGACGCCGGCCTCCGCCCCCATCACGGCCGTCGCGCGCTCAGGCCCGAAAGAATAAAAGTTATTTCGACCAACCAAAATTGAGGTGTGCAGGCATTAAAAGCTCCCTCGGACTATAGATTCCTGAAAAACATACATGATTGCTGATTTTCCTTTAAAATAATGATTAATTTTCTGCAACATATTGAGAGAAAAAAAAAATTGAAATTATTGCAAAAAATTGTTGAAAATTTTTGGGTAAGTTTATCTGAGGAACCAAACAATTTTTAATTTTATTTTTATTTTTCTCTTTCGAATTTTGCGACTGCAAAAGGGAGGAGGAGAAAAATTGGTGTTTTTGAGCGGGGAAAAAGTGAAGGAGAAAATCATGGAAAGAAGGGGATTATTATTATTGGTGGATAAATGAAAATTTGGGATATAATTATATGTTTTTTATTAATAGAAAATAAAATAAAATAAAAATTAAAAGGAAATTAAAAATGTGCGGTTTTTCACACCATTTTGTTTGTGTGTGTTTGGCACATGTGTGAAATTTTTTGGGGGAGAAAAAATGAAAAATGTTGTTTTAGTTAAATCCAGAAATTACTCTCTGGCTGAACAAAGTGAATTAATATTGTTAATATTTGTTAATTATTTACTAATATTATCTCATTCATTTATTTACATAAATATAAATTGGGGAATATGCTACGGTCTCGTTACAGAATCATTCTGTCGGAATTTGTAACTGTTAGATCATCTATTCTCGACGGTTACATGATGATTTCATGGTTACAAACCCGACAGAATAGTTTGAAAATTAGTCAATTAGATGGATAATAGGGGGAGAAAAGGTGAAACAGATAACTTGGTCAAGAATAAAAGAATTAAAATATAGTACACATCCTCTGACCTGCTCTATTTCTGGGCCAATAATTTGCAAACAAATTAATACTAAAAGATTGTAAGATATCCCAACATAAATTCCATAAAAAATAACAGATTTCAGATTCATACTATAAGAATTCCATTAAAATATTATCACTGTTGCTATCAGATTTCACCAATTATCCAGAAATAAAATTTGCACAAAGCCAACCTAATTAAATTAACACATGCTCAAATGGGTTTACTGTATACAGACACAAAAACACCAAAATTACCTAACATATGATGAACAATCAATTGCCTTCCAGTTTCAGTCTTTCAGAGCTAATTACACTAATACAAGTTTTACTTTTGTATAAGAGCTAAACTCAACTGTATACAGTACAAAGAAAATTTTCCAGATTGTGCTAATGACACAGTATTAGGGACAGGTGATTTGTCTGTGCTTAATCATGTTCTCCAGATTCCGAGCCACTAATGACGTTAAATTAGGATCCTCAAATCCGAGCTCCGGCCCGAGCCTGCATCAGATACATACAAACCATTCAAGAAACTAACACTCTTTGTTCAAGCTAAGTTAAATTATTTTTCCTTTTTTTGTCTCTATTTACTTTTTTTTATTGTTTTTTTTTTTAACGCTTAAATTTTTTGCAATGAGTATATGTTTTCCACATTAAATGCTGATGTTGTGACAGACTTAAATTAATTGATAATTTATATGCAAAGGAAATGGATTGCTTACTTGGGATCAAGAACCAACTTTTGAACTTCTTTAATCGATGCGCTTGCCGCATATAACGAGATTTTTCCGACCTGAATAATCCAGAATACGAGGCTTTATCATTTCATTTCAATGTAGCGAACGAGGAATTACAAGGGCCCGGAATTTAAATTTTTTTTTAAAAGGTAAATAAAATAAAAATAAACATGTCTGACCTCCAGCACTTGAAGCTTGGCCTCATGGTTATTTGGAAGTCCTCGAATTTCTTGTGATAGCCTCAGAGCTTGACCGAGACTTTCGGGAGAGAGAAAATCAAGCCCCAAACGTACCGAGGACTGTAGAAATGAAAAGGAGTAAAGGAAAGTTCATAATGCTGCTGTCTTGGATAATGTATTACAACACACAAATATGTATAGAGGGCAAAAGAAGTAGGTTCATGCATAACGCGTGGTTAGTGTATGTATTTACAAGAGCAGTTAAGCAACTATATAATATATTTAGGGACGATCACTAAAATCATCATAGAAGTAAGTTTAATTACAAAAGCAGCCACAGATCTTTTTAAACTATAAATTCTCCTTAAATTTGAAAAGCAACTCAGGTTTCTTTGTGATTGGACTAAAGCTCCAAAGAGAAATTGTTGGAAATGTAATTGAAGCATCTTTTCAGCTGAGCACATATACGCTTAGCTTAATAGAAACTCCATCAATAAAGGATATGAGTGACTCACCTGGAGATGTCTAACTTGGAAAGGACACCCAGCTGGCACAAACACAGCTTCCCCAATATGCTGTTCAAATGACCAAGGCTCCACCCCTTGAGAGAAGAAAAAAAAAAAATGTATTATTTAATGGATTTGGATTAAACATTTTTTTTGCTTAAGCCTGAAAGTCCAAGAAATCACCATGAAAATAGTGTCATCCACTACACAAGAAATAGGATACAAACATTGCAAACTTCAGCATATTGGAGAACTTTTGGTACTAAGATATAGTTAATAACTTAATATAGTTCACACCTATAGTGTTTGGACTGCCTGTGGTAGTAGAAGAAAACCATAATAAATACAACATTACAATGGCACTTACCAAATTCCTCTTTTAATTTTCTTTTATGATGCGTATTCAAGTACACTACCCCGTCATATACAGGCCGAGGTACCTGTTATTGAAAATATTGCATTAGCTACATCACACAAAAACTATCTTTTAGAGCAAGTATATTTCCAAAACAAACAAACCTGGAGTTACTTACACAATCATCAATGACATGATCAGCCATCCTAAATTCCTTGCGGTGCATGCTCATGTAATCCATTAGTTTGGGTATATCTTCTCGACGAAAAACGTCCCAAAAAGCTCCTGCTTCAGAATTTTCTAATATTTTCTCATTAGATCCACTTTCGGGATTATCTACAGTTTTCACTTCAACAAAACTGTTACCCTCGATATGGGGATCATCCTTTTTCTCAAAGTCTTTTGAATGTATTTTGGCATCAGAACTATCCAGTCCATCAAGTGACCAGTTAGGCAATCCACCACTGATTAAGTGATTTTCAGGGGTATTTTGTATCTGTGTTCTTGTCTTCGGCGGGACTTTTGATTTCACTTCACACGTATGTACCAAAAGGAACACCTAATTACAAATAAAAATCAAAAAGTAGTTATTCAATTATTCCAGAGTTTTGCACTAGGAAGACACGAGTAAAACAGAGAATTTCAGTTCAAATTCATCAGCACATGTTAATTTCAGAGCACTGCCAGGAAATTTTGTTTTAATTTACTCCCAAGAAAACCAGCTTTACTTAATCCAGATCGGAAGACAGAAATATCTATGTTCTAAGATAAATATAAGATATACTTTACATGGAAAATACAATTGAAAGGGGCCATTGGTTCTCACCATGTCGCGTACGTTTAAATGAAGATTATCCGTGGAATCACCCTCTTCAAATTCTTCTTCTCTGCCATACGAAATAAATATCTTGGGACCCACATCATTTTGCAAGGAATAATGAGGCAATTTCGCAGCAACATTTAGAAGTCCCCATTTGGAGTGGATGAACTCGAGCAGGGGAATTTTACTGATGAAGTCGGGTCTCTGATACAACAAAAACTCTTCAGAGGCACTAGGTGAAGGCCAATCTTTTAGCTTTAACAATTGTGGCCTGCCATTTTCATTAACTCTACCATCAAAGTATCCTCTCATGAACTCTTCGAGGTCAATGTGGATCTGAAAGTACATTAAGGACCAAAATGGGGGATTACAAACAAATATAAGTAGCATCTATAAATTAAATGAAAAGGAATATGAAAAAGAAAGA